CTTAGATGTTAACGAAAGTTAGTTATAACATTATCTATTACCTGTGTTCCTGGTAAACATGATGCATCCCTTTCATAACACATTGAAAAATAGCCGACAACGGGGACACCATAGTTATGCATTCATGCGTTTAATTAATAATGCATGCCAGACATGATCCTATTCATATTGAAGAATACAGATTTGCATTTGCATCCAAATACTCACCACTGTGATGCAATTTATAATCTCTCTATCTCTCACTCTCTCTCTTTCATCAATTTCACAGAATGTATTTCTGTACATCATCAGTGGAAGAATGCATGCATTAAAGGACACTAAATAAAGTGAGACTGCTGGAAAATAAAACTACAATATCAGCATTATTGCAGAAAATATGTGCTTGGACTCCTCTTTAGCATACGAGTAGCCTACTCACCAACAGATTGAGGGGAAATAAAAACCTATTTGAATTATAACCATAGTCTATGATTCACAAAGCTGTATACTACAGTATAGGAAAATATTTAAAAAATACTGTACATTAGGTTTTGTTGGATCGCATTGGCACAATTCTCAGTATTAGGCTACTGTCATGTCTGTGTCAGAGTCCTCAGACATACTTAGACCTCCCTTTTATTTTATATATTGATATATTGTACAACAGCCACAGCAACATATACAAAACATTTACAGAGCATTTACACATGAGTTAGAAGTGCTATGGACATGTTTGTCCTTGCATGTCCCTCTCCATAAGGAAAATAAAATTACCTCTTATGTCCCCTGGAGGGCTGAGAGCCCATTCACTGAGGTTAGTTAAAGGACCCAGGACCCAAACCAGTGCCTGGACAAAAAGCAAAAGGGGAACCAAACTATCACCTTATCTCTCCTCTATTGTCACCTAATGTTCCTTCAATGAGCGTGTTCAATGAGGTGTTCAGCCATCTTTTAAACAGTTAGTAAACTTTTTTTAAAGCTTGTTTTTCAACTAGACATTTTGAAAAAGTGATCTATCCCATGTATTGTGAGACAAAACCCCACCAACAACTAACAACAGGAGTATCCAACATTGTGCGGGTATTGATTTATTTTTCATGACTATACTTTACGTACCCTGCACCTGAAAGTTGGATGTGCTTACACTAGTTTTCAACAAAACTCCAAGCCCAGCAACCTATTCTTCACACTTTGTGATCGTATTAAAGCTTATAGTTGGTTTTAGTTGGTTTTAACTTTGACTCCTATGTCCACAAAATGGATGGGAGGGTTGGGTTTCATGGAACACAACTGAGTCCCATGAAAATGTGTGTTGAATGCATAAGCACAGTGATTAGTGGAGGCCTGTCTGTTCAAGAGAGATTGAAATATTCCTTATTTTTTGGTTTTCAGCTCATACAACACATTTCCTCCATTTGCTGAGCGTCACTCGCGCATCTACGACCTTACAAGACAAAGAAACAGCTTAAGAAATGTGTGAAAACACTCTGCAATAGTATTGGACATTGATAAGGAAAATTAAACATTAAGATCAATAGTGAAGATACACAGAGAGCAGCTAGCACCCCCCCCCCCCCCCCCCACACCCCCCACCCACACCCCCAAAACCCTCAAAAGGCATAAAGTAGTTATCTTTCCTAGTTCTAGCTCCTAGTTCTCTCTCCTAGTTCTATCTCCTAATTTTTGCGCATGTTCTTAGCCATGAAATCAATGCCTTTTTCCAGTGTAAGAAAAAATGCTGTAAACACTTCAGAAATGAAATGCATTATCCCAATAGTTGTGAAATACAGGAAAAGGATACCATGGGTCCATAGTATGTAGATTTGTGAGAAGAATTACTAACAAAAGAAATGTGCAGATATATGTAGATGTTTTAGTTACTGTGAATTTCAAATAGCTACTCCATGCCTGAAAGGCACCCTCAGTTTGGTAATGCTTGCAGCGGAGTATTGCATTGAATTATCCAATCTACATTAAAAAATATATTTGTATTTATTTTTGACAGCTGCTCATGAACATACAATATAGCAAATTATTAAATATCTTAAATATGATTGTGATGTACAATATAGTAATTTATCACATAATATATTAAGTGAATCATATAATACATACGTTTTTAGTGCTTATAGGTGACACCTTTTATTAATGTTAAAAGCTTGTAATGATTCAAAATACTTTAAATTAGACAAAATAGCACTGAGAATATATAAATAGTCAGTTCATATTTGAAACAGCCATTCAATTATTCATTGTAAGCAACAAAATAGTTAAATATAATCAATCAAAACAATTGCAGTGCAATTAAATTGAAGTGATTTAATATTGATCAAATCTAATTTGAGAACCTGTGATGTAAATGTTACTCATCTTGTTCCATTATTAAAAACATGTTGTAACAGGTATTCCACTTCTGTCAGATATTTTTAGTTGTAATAAATTAAGAGATTAAAAAAAAACACTGATTCTCTGCCATAAAAAAAGAAAGTATTTTTTACATCAACTTGAAAGGTGCCTCTATGTCTCTTAAAATGCATATGATTCATAGAGCAGACTCTTTTGCCAATGTTTCAAATAACTCCATCTTGTGGAATTCAGTTCTGTAACCATTCTCTTCTAGCCTACTCATGCAATGTACAGTATTCTCTGCCGTTTTCAGATGACCATTCTAAGCGATTACTCTGGTTAGTCTGGAGCTTCGATTTGAATAGAATAAATCATGAATGAATGGCCAAGTAGGCAGTACGGATCCAATGATCGTGTATAGGCCAGTTACTGACTAGCTTCGATATCCAGGCATCTCATCGTGAAGCTCACTATTCATAGTGAACAGGAGTTTACCACGTCTGTCTACCCGAGACTAGCATTTGTCAGACCCAAGCAACAGAATGCTGCTGCCAGTGGAATGAAAGGAATGGGCAGCGCTATTACCAGACATGCTCGATGTTTTCTTGGTGAAAAGGCTATAGAAATGGGTCTGATCTTGATGTGTTCTAATTTCAACATGGGTTTACTGTTTGGGATGAAGAACTCCTTAAATAGGGTCACAGCCCCCTCTTGTGCCCAGTTTTGAGTTTTGCACTGAGCAAATGAGATCCAATGGAAATAATGATGACGCACACTGGTGCTTTCAAACAAACTGTTACATTAGAGGAATTGTTTTGGCTTTCCTTCACCCATTCCATACACCTTATGGCATTAGAGTGCATGTATGACTATGTGTGTGTGCATGTTAACACTTTGTTCATACCTCTACACTGTAGGCCACAGTAACACTAAGCCCTGGGGATTGGTCAATGCAAGTAAATAGACATACACTTATGATGAGTCTACATTTAATAAAATGTTCCATCTTCCCTGTTACTCAGGCTGTGTAGGTAATCGATTTTACTACCCTGATTTTGACCTCTGAACTCTATTGGGTCAATGCTACTTGACTGTCAGTGTGCATGGATTTTAAACCAGGGACATGCATTATACATAATAGAGCCCTATTATGTCTAGAAATTCAACCTGCGCAATGCTCATTGTCTCTATCCATTGATAAAGGCATCACCAGCTGACTGGTCTCCATGTGTTCTACTGTAGTCACTACTGCTGTAATCTAGTTCAGCAGAAACCGCCCCCCCCCCCCCCCCCCCCCCCCCCCCCCCCCCCCCCCCCCCCCAATGCTCTGACACAGGGTCGGCTCTAGCCTTTTGGGGGCCCCTCCACCAAGTGGGCAAAATGTTTTAGTGGCCCCCCTCTTGACGGTGGAGATAAAAGAAAATATCAACATTTTCTACACATTTTGCCATGGGGTGTAGAGAAAATGTTGCAGTTTAAAAGCAAGTTTTCTGCATTTCTACACATTTTGATTACTACAAGTTTATATAACTGGCTAGACTAACTTAACAACCTAAAAATTGTTAGCTGACATGGCTAATTGAGTGACTGTCAGTGAATGACAAAACAAGAAATAAACTGCTGATGCACAACCAAATTTCAAACTTGCACCTTGTGTATTCTACTATTCTAACTCTCAACAGTAGGTTGAGACGCCGCCTGAGTTCCCAGACTGAGTTTTGTTGGGGGGTCGGGGCCCCCGAGCGGCCAGGGGCCCTAAGCGCCCGCTTATGTCGCTTATGCCTGCTTGGGTAGTTTGGTGGACCAAAGCTTCAAACGTGGCCTTCATTAACCCAATAGAAAGATCAGGAAAAAGTCCTAATCCATAGCCATTGGCTTTATTTCTAATCAATCACCTCCCTCCGTCTTGCTAGCACACCACAAGTTTTCTGATTCGGAGCCACAACTCCCAGTCATGTAATTTGCTAAGATCAAAAATGTTTGTCATTTATTTTTATTTTTACTACCACATAGGCCAGATTTGAGTCATTGGAGTTTCAGGCTTATATGCGATATGGACAATTACCCTGGGGACAAGGTTACTACTGCTGCTACTGATTTAGCATGCAGTGCTATGTCAGTGGTGGAAAGACAGAGTGCAATTTCAGTGGTGGAAAGACCGCTATTTCAGTGATGGAAAGAAAGAGTGCTATTTCAGTGGTGGAAGCACAGAAGCATAGAGTCATATCCATGAGTATGGGCAGTTTAAGGGCAAAGAGGAATTGAGGAGAACCTGAGGAAATTTGGGGTTGAGGTGACAATACTGACCTCCAGTCTTATATTGTCAGGTAGCCAAGTTCATTATTTTCTAAAGACTCTGACTAAACTGTCCTATCAGAGATTTCATTTTTATACTTTCTATTTTGGCTACACTAGTGTTCTGTGACGTGTTGCATTGCAGTAACAGTGTGTTGACTTTACTAAAAAGATGGTAGACAGACACGGCACATAACCTCCATCACCAAACACACAACGAGAGTCAGCTTCAGGAGGAGGTAAGAACTACCCTAGCTTCATAGCACTTTGTTTTACACTGGTAGGAGCCCTCCCCATGACCCTTGCCTTTCCCCCTGGCCGGCCCTATGGTCCTGTATAACAGAGTGTGCCCTGTCCCTGTCCTGTTTCCTTCATCATTGTCACGTGTAGTTGTGTCTGCTGTCGAAGCTGCTGTACGCAGAGTGTGTGGTCAGCTTTCTCATGGAGAGGCTGTCTGTCTTGGCGTCGGGCCGCGCCCCAGACTTGCTCCTCAGGAAGGGGTTCCTGGGTCCCCCCAGCCCCCCACGGTCTGCACCCCTCTCCATCCTCTCACTGACCGACAGGCTTTTTCTGTGTGAAGGAGGGGCCAATGATGGGTGGGAGGAGTCATCTGAGGAACAGCTGTTGGCTCGTTCCAGCCTGGAGAAGGGCGAGCAGAAGGGGGTCCCACTCGCCCCTCTTAAGCCTCTCCCCATGCGATGGGGTTCGGGGGCCGGAGCCAGGTCCTCTGGGTCTTCAGGGTCTGACTCTGTATGGCTGAGCTCGGCCTCGCGCTCTGGGTGGGAGGAGCCCATGTCCGGGGGCTTATTGAAGGGGAATGAGGTGGAGCCTCCGGGGGAGTGGGAGCGCTCTGTGGTGGTGTAAGGGGCGGAGACACACCTGGTGTCTATGCAGTCAGTGATGCTGGTGTACTCAGCCGCTTTGACCTGAACCCCTGCCCCTAGGCCTCCGTAGCAGCCTCGTGGGGTAAACATGAGGCTGTGAGACTTGACCAGCTGAGTCTCTTCTAGGTAGCCCCTGCCGCCAGTGGACAGGTAGCGGCTGCTCTTGGAGCGCTCCAGCGGTCCCGCTGACGGGGGCGGAGAGGGGTCCAGGTCCCAGGGTGGCATGGTGTTTTCTGGGAGAAGTTGGGCGGAGCATAGCGAAAGGTCTGCAGCCGCACTGTCCTCGAACACGGCCCCACCCTCCGAGTGTCTGTCGCCCAAACCGCTGCCGCCACCGTAGTCCCTCCCGCTCGACAGCACCGCCTCCATAATCTCAGAGTGGAGCGAGGAGTCATGCCAGAGGGGAGGGGCCATCCTCAGCGGGTCCGAGAAGACCTCGGCTGGCCCCGCCTCCTCGGACGCCGACACATAGATGTCGATGCAGGAAGAGGGGCGGTGCTGCTGGGAGATGGACAGCGTGGCCAGTGGGAGGGGCTTAGACTCCTTGGGGGCGGTACCCGAGGCCACCGACTGTGAGCTATTGGCCCGGTGCAGGCTGAAGGAGCGCTCCTTGAGGAAACGGTCTGCCCTTTCAGCCCTGTCGGCCCCAGCTCGCTCACGACCTCCGCCCGCGTAGAAGGAGTGACTGCGTGTGCGCGTGGCCAGGCTGGTGGGGGAGGGTGGTGACATGGAGCCCTCTGCACCCTCATTGACCCGGTAGGAGTTCCCCTCTTGGCTGTTGAAGCTGCTCTGGCGCAGGATGTAAGCCGCATCTGGGCACTCACCCTGACGCAGCATGTAGGCCGAGTCTGTGCAGTCGGATGAGGTGCGTGAGCGGGCCTTGTTGACCTCGCCCCGCTCCACCCCCGTGACTCGCTCAAGAGCCACAGCGATCCGACCAATCAGTTCCTCCATCTGGGCCAGCCGTATGTCCACAGTCTGCAGAGATGACTTCATGAAGTGTTCTCTCTCATTCACCTCCTCCAGACGCATGGCCATGTTCTCCACTCTGAAACAGACAGAGAAAAAGGAGATAAAGAGAGAGATAGAGAGAAGAAAAGGGAGAGAGAGAGACAGAGCGAGAGAGACACACAAGAGAGAGAGAGAGAGAGAGAGAGAGAGAGAGAGTAAAGGAGAGAGAGAGAGAGAGAGAGAGAGAATAGAGAGAGGGAGGGCACTCCACTGCAGGAAAAACAGAACTAGACAATAATTTGTGCCAGGTGTGATATCCCTCCTAAACAGCCCGGGCTAATGTTCCTATCCACCCAGTAAGGCCAGCAGGCTAGTCTCTTTCATTGGTATGTAACTGTTATGAATTTTGTACTGTCAATTTGTTGTGTACTGTATTTAAACATCACTTTAAACATGTACATGATACTGCAACAACATGTAAAGAGAGAGAAGAAAATAAAAGGGAGAGAGAGAAAGGAGAGAGAGAGACAGAAGAGGGAGGAGAGAGAGAGAGAACGAGAAAGAGGGAGAGAGAGAGAGAGAACGAGAAAGAGGAGTGGAGTAGCAGAATGCGAGAAGGATAATAGAGAACGAGATAAATTTAGAAAACTTTATGTTTTAACCCACTTTCGTTTCCTTGCCCCTTTCTTCCCTGCCGGGGCCAGGCTGGTGGGGGAGGGTTTGGTGACATGGAGCCCTCGGGCACCCCTTTGGGACCCCGGGTTTTGGTTTCCCCTCCTGGGTCTGGGGGGTTGCCAAGCGGGCCCTCTGGGCTCGGAAATTGGGGGGTGGGGGGCCCCATCGGGCCCCCCACCCAACCCCCCCTTGACCGCCAGTAAGCCCAAAATTTTTATCGGGCCCGGGGATGAAGGTCTGAGGGCCTTATTGCCTCTCACCCCCCCCCCCAAGGGCTGGCCAGTTCCACCAAAACCGCCCAAAAAAAATTTTAAAAAAAAATTTGGGAAAGGGGGAAGGGGAACAGGCGAGAAGACCATGAAGTTTCTCCCCCTCTTCCCCGCCCTTCCCTCCGCCTCCATTTCCCCACCCCTTCGGCCGTTTTTTTTAAAACCCTGGAAGAAAAAAGGGGAAGGGAAAACGGCAGGGACCCCCAAAACCCGGGCAAAAGGTTTTAAAAGGGTAAAGGGAAAGTGGGGAATTGGGAAAGGGGGGAAACTGAAAAAAAGAACGGCAAATTTTTTGGGTATTTTTCCTTTATCCCCCTTTAAAACCTTAATGTTCCTCCAACCCGAAAAGGGGAAGTTTTAAAGGGAGAGGAAAAAGGAGGAGAACGGGGGGAAATTTTGGGACTGAAAAAAATAAAATTTAAAACGGGAAAGGGGGAGTTGAAAATAGAAATTTTTTGGGGTTTTTTTTAAAGGAACCCCCCCCAAAATTTTTTTCCCCCCCCCTTTTTTTTCCCCCCTTTTTTTGTTTTTTGGTTTTTCCCCCCCGGGGGTTTTTTTTCCCCCCCCCAGGTCTAATTTTTTTTTTGAGTTTCTTCCTTTTTTCCCTTTTTTTTCCCTTCCCCCCTTTTTTTTGGGTTCCTCTCCCCCCCCTTCCCCCCCGCCCCCCCCCGACTCCTTCCCTTCTTCCTCTCTCTTTTTTGGGGGCCCTTTTTAGGAAAGAGGGAGAGGAAAATTAAAAAAATTCCCCAAGTGAAAAAATTCTAAAAAACACAAAAATTTTCATTGATGCCCTTCCAATTTCCTTTCGGGCCTACCCAAGGACCCCAAGGACAAAAATCATTAAAACCACTTAACTGAGGAACTAAATTTCCCCCTTGCGAAATACCCTAGAGGGCAGTTAAAACCCCCTAAAAACAAAAAACATTTTTCATAAAAACTAGCTCCCTGGTAAACAGAAATACCCGATTTTTTGAACAAGCCCCGGGGAAATTGGAACGGAAATGGGGGGCCCCCAAAAACAGACCAAAACCGGAAGTTTTTTCCGACAGCTTGGAAAGACGTACCTTTTGCAGAAACCAAAAGAGCCCTCACTGCGGGCTCGACATCCATTTTTTTCCAAATTTAAATTCCGAAAAAATAAAAAACCCAACCAAAATTTTTTTTTGTTTACTGTTGCAAAGCAACAAAAAAGAAATTTTCCCCAAAAAGAGGAGGGCCCTTTCACTTCAGCAGTGAAAAATTCATGAATTTCCCTTTTAGGAAAGATCATGACCATTAAAAAAAAATTCCGACCTCTTTGAATCTGCGTATTCCCCGGGGCTTAGCTGTCCTGGATCTGAAACAGCTCTGCGGGGCCGGGGACCCGGGAAACCATTTAAATTTTTTTTAAGTACTATAATCTTTTGACCAAGATAAAAATAATCAGGGCCCCTCTAAACCTTCAACTGCATACTGGATCCTATTCCCTACTAAACTGCTAAAGGGAGTTTTTTTTTGGCTTGGCCCCCTATGTTAAACATAAAAAACCCTCCTATCCCCCGGGATGTGTCCCAAACTCCAAAAAGGGGCAGGGATAAGCCTCCCCTTGAAAAACCCAAAACCCTTGACCCAAAAATAAAAAAAACTTGGGCCTATATCAAAATCTTCCATTCCTCCAAAATTTTTTAAAAAAAGCTGTTGCGCAGCAACTCCTCCCTTTTTTAAGAAAAACCCAATTTTAAACGAAATGTTTCCCATCGGGTTTTTTGGGCCCCCCTCTAGCACTGAGATTTGCACTTGTGAAGGTGGAAAATAAACCTTTTTAAAAAGGGCGTCAAAACCGAGGTTTTCTCCCTCTGCCCTTCGTGCTACTAGACCTTAGTGCTGCCTTTGACACCATCGATCACCACATTCTTTTGAGAGACTGGAAACCCAAATTGGTCTACACGGACAAGTTCTGGCCTGGTTTAGATCCTACCTGTCGGAAAGATATCAGTTTGTCTCTGTGAATGGTCCTGTCCCTCCGACAAATCAACTGTACATTTCGGTGTTCCCTCAAGGTTCCGTTTTAGGACCACTATTGTTTTTCACTATATATTTTACCTCTTGGGGATGTTTATCGAAAACATAATGTTAACTTTCACTGCTATGGCGGATGACACACAGCTGTTACATTTCCATGAAACATGGTGAAGCCCCAAAATTGCCCTCGCTAGAAGCCTGTGTTTCAGACTAAGGAAGTGGATGGCTGAAAACTTTTTACTTTTAAACTCGGACAAAACAGAGATGCTTGTTCTAGGTCCCAAGAAAACAAAGAGATCTTCTGTTAATCTGACAATTCATCTTGATGGTTGTAAAAGGTCGTCTCAAATAAAACTGTGAAGGACCTCGGCGTTACTCCTTGACCCCTGATCTCTCTTTTGACGAACATATCAGACTGTTTCAAGGACAGCTTTTTTCCATCTACGTAACATTGCAAAAATCAGAAATTTTCTGTCCCAAAAATGATGCAGAAAATTAATCCATGCATTTGTTACTTCTAGGTTAGACCTACTGCAATGCTCTATTTTTTCCGGCTACCCGGATAAAGCACTAAATAAACTTCAGTTCGTGCTAAATAACGGCTGCTAGAATCCTGACTAGAACCAAGAAATTTGATCATATGTACTCCAGTGCTAGCTTCCCTACACTGGCTTCCTGTTTAGGCAATGGGCTGATTTCAAGGTTTTACTGTTAACCTATAAAGCGTTACATGGGCTTGCTCCTACCTATCTTTTCCGAGTTTGGTCCTGCCGTACATACCAATACGTACGCTACGGTCACAAGACGCGGCCTCCTAATGTCCCTAGAATTTCTAAGCAAAACAGCGGGAGGCAGGGCTTTCTCCTATAGATCTCCATTTTTATGGAACAGTCTGCCTACCCATGTGAGAGACGCAGACTCGGTCTCAACCTTTAAGTCTTTACTGAAAGACTTATCTCTTCAGTAGGTCATATGATTGAGTGTAGTCTGGCCCCAGGAGTGTGAAGGTGAACGGAAAGGCTGGAGCAACGAACAGCCCTTGCTGTCTCTGCCAGGCCGGTTCCCCTCTCCACTGGGGTTCTCTGCCTCTAACCCTGTTGCAGGGGCTGAGTCACTGGCTTGCTGGTGCTCTTTCATGCCGTCCCTGGGAGGGGTGCGTCACTTGAGTGGGTTTGAGTTACTGACGTGATCTTCCTGTCTGGGTTGGCGCCCCCCCCTTGGTTTGTGCTGTGGTGGAGACCTCTGTGGGCTATACTCGGCCTTGTTCTCAGGATTGTAAGTTGGTGGTTGGGGATATCCCTCTAGTGGTGTCGGGGGGCTGTGCTTTGGCGGAGTGGGTGGGGTTTATATCCTTCCTGTTTGGCCCTGTCCGGGGGTTTCTTCGGATGGGGCCACAGTGTCCTCCGGACCGCTCCTGTCTCAGCATCCAGTATTTATGCTGCAGTAGTTTTATGTGTCGGGGGGCTGGGGTTAGTTGGTTATACCTGGAGTACTTCTCCTGTCTTATCCAGTGTCCTGTGTGAATTTAAGTATGCTCTCTCTAATTCTCTCGTTCTCCTCTTTCTCTCTGAGAAACCTGAGCCCTAGGACCATACGTCAGGACTACCGGGCATGATGACACCTTGCTGTCCCAGTCCGCCTGGCCTTGCTGCTATTTCCATTTTTCAACTGTTCTGCTGCGGCTACGAAACCCCTACCTGTCCCAGACCTGCTGTTTTCAACTCTTAATGATCGGCTATGAAAAGCCAACTGAAGACCTGAGCCCTAGGACCATACGTCGGGACTACCGGCCGTGGTGACTCCTTGCTGTCCCCAGTCCGCCTGGCCTTGCTGCTATTCCAGTTTCAACTGTTCTGCCTGCGGTTATGGAACCCCTACCTGTCCCAGACCTGCTGTTTCAACTCTTAATGATCGGCTATGAAAAGCCAACTGAGATTTATTCCTGATTATTAATTTGACCATGCTTGTCACTTATGAACATTTTTGAACATCTTGGCATGGTTCTGTTATAATCTCCACCCGGCACAGCCCAGAAGAGGACTGGCCACCCCTCATAGCCTGGTTCCTCTCTAGGTTTCCTTCCTAGGTTTTCGCCTTTCTAGGGTTTTTTTTCCCCAAACCCCCGGGTTCTAAAAAACCCCTTCTTCTTTTTTGGGGGTTTTTTGGGGGGGGTTTCTGTACACACCCTTTGGTTGCGTGTTTGAAGGGCTTTTTTGTTGTTCTTTCTCCCCCGGGGCGCGCGGGCGGCCCCGGGGCCGCGCGCGCGCGCGGGGGCCCGCGGCGCCCGCCGGCGCCCGAGGGCGGGTGGAGAGGAGAAGAAAAAGAGAGAAGGGTGAGATAAGGGAGGGCCCCCCTCCCCTGCAGGAAAAACAAACTAGACATTCCCTTTTTGCCAGGGTTATTCCCTCCTAAACCCCCCCCCGGGGTAATTTTTTATCCACCCAGTAAGGCCAGCAGGGTAGTCTCTTTTTCATTGGTTTTTGTAAAGGGTTTTAATTTTTTTTACTGTCCTTTTGGGTTTTTGGGCCCGTATTTTAAACCCCACTTTAAACATGTACTGATCCCGCAAAAAACCCTTAAAAAAGGAAAAAAACAAAAAAGGGAAGAGAAAAGGAGAGAAAAGAGGGGGAAAACGGGAGGGGCGAGTTAGCAATGGGGAGAGAGCCCGTCGGGGAGGGGCGAGAGATAGCGAAAAGGGGGACAAGGAGGAAAGGGGAGTGGAGGAAATCGGGGGGAGAAAAGGACAAAGGGGAAGCCGGAAAGAAGTTGGGGGTGGGGAGAAGACGGGAAAGGGGAGGAAATTAAAGGGAAAACCCAACCCCAGACCCCAAGGGGGCCCCGCCTCTCCCCCTTTTCCCCTCTTTCGCCTCCTCCTCCTCCCCCTCTTCTTTCTTCTCCCTCCCCCCCTTTTTCGCTCTCTCCCCCCCTTTTTGCTCGCTCTCCCGCCGCCCCGGGGTCCCCTTTTCCCTTTTCCCCTCCCCTCCCCTTTTTCCCCCTTTTCCCCCTCGCCTCCCTCTCCCCCTTCCCCCCTCCCTTCCCCTCCCCTTTTTTCTCTCTCCCCCTCTTTCTCGTTTTCGCCCCCCCTCTCCCCCTTTTCCCCCTCTCCTCTCGCCTTTCTCCTTCTCTCGAGAGAGGAGAGCGCGGAGCGGCGAGCGCCGCCCAGCGCTCGGGGCCGGGCTCGCTCTCGAGCTTGTGAGAGAGAGGGAGATAGGGAGGGGGTGACAGCAATTATATTGTCCTTTTCCTGAATCCTTGTCCCCCCCGTATGAGCCTACATCATATGTTGCACTTAAGTATGACAGGATTATGTATGCCCATGTCGAACCTCTCTGACGTCACTCGGATCCTCTCGTCATTTGAGGAGTTGAAACGGTCATCCTTCTCGCGGAAGTACTCCTCGATGCACTGCTCCTCAAAGTCATGCACTTTCTTCAGCTCATCTTCAGTGATGAAGAGCTCTGTGATGGAAGGATGAAGAAAAGCAACAAAGGGTAAAAGGAAAGAAGGAAGGACACATTTCTAAATGATTTGGCTCTAGGCTGTACTCACTCAGGCCATAATCTCTCTCCTCATCGTCGTGCTTCCGCCAGCGACAGCACAGGTGCTTGAGGACCATGGTCATGTGACTGAAGATGATGAGGGGGGGGGGGAGGATGGGCCGCTCGTAGAAGGTCATGATGAGCTGGTACCTCTGGAACTTCCACACCTGGTTGGAGATGGACTTCACCTCAAAGAAGGTGTTACTATGACAACAGACAGTAACAACCAAAATGTCAAACCAACCCTATGCAGATGGAATATGCACTGAAGAAAAATATAAACGCAACATGCAAAGTGTTGGTCCCATGTTTAATGCGCTGAAATAAAAAATCCCAGAAATGTTCCATACGCACAAAAAGCTTATTTCTCTCAAATTTGTGCACAAATTTGTTTACATCCCTGGCCTAAACATATACATTTGCTTAAACCTTTAAAATCGACTCGGATTTCCACAAGTGTCTGGGGGTAGGAGCTAGGGGTTGTTTCTGGACAAGGCCCTGCTATGTATAAACGAGTGGGCATAAGGAGAGTGTAGGTCTACAGAGCGAGACAGACAGAGAGAGAGAGAGAGAGAGAGAGAGAGAGAGAGAGAACATACTTGAAAACAGCGATGAGCAGGTTGACCAGCAGGATGTTGGCCACCAGAAGGTAGCAGGCCATGATGGCAGGAACGATCCAGGCTCCCGTCTTACAGGGCGGCAGAGCCACAACATGCCCGTCCTCTGTGGTGATATTCTGACCACACGGAGCTAAGCACAATGACACAACCACAGGGTCAGGATGACACACAAGGTATCACAGATTGTGTCACAAGACAAAACAAATGGGTAGCCAGCCTAAAGAGAGTTTCTCCGACAAACATAACAAATAAAGGCAAACATACTGTAAAAGCCAATTGTGTGTCAAAACAAATTAATATACAGACAACAACTAGACAAGCAAGCCAACATAAGACGAACACAAAATCAAATTAAAGGAAGATGTCAACATACAATAAAAACATACATACAAGCAAACCCAGGCAATCACACCGAACAGACAATCACTATGCTGACATCTAAAATAAACAAACCAACAAATAAACAGAACAACAAATTCTTCAAGTTTAGCAAACAAACAAGAGGCATAATATACTGTATATATGCATATTGTTTGGAGGGGATAGGAAGGAGTGAGCACTAGAATGGAAAGGTGTTATGTGCTGAAATGTGTCTCTCACAATATATTCAAAAATATATTGTCAATAACTTACATTCCCAATATGTTTAAACATGGCATGATGTTTAAATTATATTGTCACATGCGTGCCATAGCCTAGCTGAATAATGACTATACTACAGATCAATTGAAATGTATTTAAGATACATCATACGTTTTTTCCATCAGTGATGGTTCAGTTGCTGTGGCTTATAATGGGAACACTCAGCACTTTCACTTTGGATGCTCATTTGTTTGTTTGCCTATGAATCATTATATTCATACTCATCTCTGGATTTCAATTGATCACACAAGGCAGCCCAAAGGTAGAGAACTGAAGTAATTTGCTATCTCTCTATCTCACAATTTTACACTCAAAGAAATTGGGTAAAAAACTCTGACAACTGAACCACGTGAAAAAACAGATTGCAGATGATGACAGGGTATGATATGTTCATGTTTGTTTGTGTGTGATTGTGTGTGTGTGTAAATTCAGAATAATATTCTGTATCTAAGTGCATTTGAGTTTAGGGGTGCTTTTGAAATGTGTAGGTGCGCTTTTGATTTGTGTGTGTGTGTGTGTGTGTGTATATATATATACGAATCTGCGTGTGTGTGTGTGTGTGTGTTTGTGTATGTTTGGTTGTATTTTCAAGTGTGTATGAGTATTTGCGCATCTATGAGAGTATGGTTGAGAGTACATTATTGTGAGTTTGCGTGTCTAGATGACATTGTAGGGATGTTACAATCTCTAGTGATAGCAGAGCTGACATTGGGGGATGGCAATAATGACTGGGTTTACCTGGCAGCCTTACTTTTCCAAAATAAAACAAAATAGTGATAATGTCAAAGGAGCATGTCTGTAACAATGATAGTTTCCTTTGAGATTTAGTAATGTCATCAAAATAAACAAATAAATAAACCAAATGAAACCAAACAAGAGTGCTACTGCCATGAAACACAGTTATTGACCTGTCAGTATGTCGTGCTGCATGCTTAACCATAGAGATGGTAAAGAGGACACACCTCCTATCTTTGCCATTGATAGCTTCTGTGACAGCATGGGCATCGCCACTGAGGGCTATCTCATAGAGATAGATAGAGGACTCATCCTTATATCTGTGCCATTATAGCATCTGTGACAGCATGGGCATCTCCATTGAGGGCTATCTCATAGAGATAGATAGAGGACTCATCTTTATATCTGTGCCATTATAGCGTCTGTGACAGCATGGGCATTGCCACTGAGGGCTATCTCCATCTTTTCTACTTTTATGAGTTCATTGGCGGGCCATAAAAAAACGGAAAAGGTGCATACTGCCACCTACTGTGCAGGAGTGTGTATAATCTGAACAGGCATAAAGCGAAGGTTGGTGATTTATTGCCACCTGAAGTGCTGGAATGTTTGCTCAGGAGTATAAATCATTGGATGATCCCTCCTGCTGACCAGGATGGAATTCTTCCCTCCACAACCCATAGAAAGTCCCTCCCAGTTGACTACATTAAAATGGTGAAAACCTTCAATGCTAAAACAGGTTTTATGGAAAGTGCACCCTCTATCCATCTCTATGTGCATATCTGACTCAATAGCAGCCCCTAGATGAGGGTGCAGTGATGGTATGGCAGTGAGGCTGGAATGGTGTAGGGAGGGGACGGGACGGGGGTGGGTCTAATTATCGATTAACTGGCATTCTGATTGAACATAGCAATGTTGGTATGGACCATTATTACGCCAGGTTCCATGAGCTCGAAACTGATTTTCGATCATCCAGAGTTTTGAATTCAGCCTGTGCTTTAGCTTCCTACTATGCACATCTGAAACAAAGAATGACAGCATTATTTCAGATCTCCAGCTTTGGGCTAGTCCTTCCATTCTATACACTCTCACACACGCACACACGCACTCCCTCAAAACAGATGGTGCATTCAGAGAGCAATCATGTACCTTATTTGAGTCGATGACTAAATTACTAAGCAATGTTACCTGCTGTTAGACATCACCTGACCTCATCACTGAGATAATGTGAGTTGTTAGTGATCTGTCCTCTGCTGTTGTCAGAAAATATAATATGGGTATTTTTTTGTGCAATATTACATTTGCATGACCAGCGTGAATAAGAACCAATCCGGCCACCAATGTCTTTCGTTGCACTAATATAGTTCCCCCTGGGGGGAACTGAGAGGTTCCAAGTGCGTGGCATTTCAGCACCTGGATGACTTCAGCTATTCTGCTGAGTGTGTGTGTATGTGTTGGAGGAGCGGGCAGCCTTACACGCCGAGCTCGACTCTCCACCACTCCACCACCCTTTACCCCCTCCCTCCCTCCCCCCACATCCACCACCCCTTGTGGGCTTACGGTCGATCTGATCAGCGAACACTTCTCCATAGATCATCCAGTAAGGCATGAAGAAGATGTTCCGAGCCAGCATCCAGGACGGGTCCTCATTGGGATTCAGGATGGCCTGCCTGGCCACTCCGAAACTCATCAACACTACCAGCATGATGATCACAAAGTACATCATGTCAATCATCTGAGACAGAGAAGGAGTGGGAGGGAGGAGAAAGAGGATGACAAAAAGGGAGACAGGGAGAATGTTTTAAACTAATATATAACTCATTCATCTTTATAGCATTCTCATTAAGTGAGCAATTAAGTAGAACATTAGACACCAACCAACAGACAGGCAGACATACAGACAGAGAGAAAGACAGACGGACAGACAGGCAAACCAAAAGATAGGCTGCATCCAGATTCTCTGCCCTTCTCCTGAATGTTGCATTTGCACACTCCACATCATGGTATTCAAAGCATTGGACTGGTGTAAGCATTGGCTGGAGGGATTTTCCACCGTTGTTAAATCCATGACTGGGAGTGTGCAAGTGCACACAGCCAGTGACAGACTCCGCCCCCTCACCATCTTGCCGATCATCATGACATAGGGGCCCAGGTACTTGTTGACGCCAAAGATGTCGAGCAGCCGGATGTACCAATAGATGATGTTGACGCAGTAGATGACCCGGCCGTAACTCATGAGGGGCGGCTCCTGGAGGCGGAGCACCATGCCCACGGAGAAGATGAGGATGGCCATGAGGTCCGTGATGTTCCAGTACTCCTGGAGCCACACCTTCACCTTCTGCAACAGCTTCCCCGGCTCCGACATCAGAATCTGGGGGAGGTAGACAAGGAGGGAGGGATGGAGGGAGAGAGAGCGGGAGAAAGAGGGAAAGAGAGAGAGAGAGAGACGCACTTCAGAGTGCTGGCCATGTGAGAGTGCAGGCCTATAAAAGGTCACTGAAGAATCTGTTCTACATAAATGGGTACAGGTTTGGAAATGATGACGAATGCGAATATCTGTTGTTTTAGGATGCTGACAGAGAGTGCAGGGATCTTAGTAGGATAGTTTCATTTGGCCACTGGAATTTTTCTCCTGTATTTAATTTGATCTTGCATTGGAAAATCTGTGGTTGATTGACTAGAATGACACACTTCATAATGTGCAAATCCCCCCACCTCTCTAGCATGTGTCTGTGTTATAGACTGTATTGTGTCTGTGTATGTTTGACTGTATTGAAAAAGCCATGAGAAATCCTGGAGTTGAACCATCTCTCTGTATATGTGTGTCCTGCCCTACCTCTCTCATCTTCTCGATGCCATTGGTGAAGATGTAAGCGATGACGATCCACTCTTGCGGTGAGGGCCACAAGTCCATCTTCACCAGAACAATATAGTTAAACAGCATCAGGTACGCCACATAGGCCATCTGGGGACAAACACACAGTTTTAGGGTCTCCCGGAGCATGTGGGGAGTCTTCAGTGCATGCAGACGGTCTTACAGACGACATAAGGTGTGGGTCATAAGTGGGTCTTAACCCTCCCGTTGTCCTAGGGTCAAAATGACCCGCCACTGTGTTGAACCAACTTTATTTAATTTTTATATTTTTGGGATCATTTGTGAGAAGGAGTCAGTGAGACTTTAAAGAAAGTATCACTGCCTCCTTCTCACAAATGATCCAAAAAATATAAAAATTAAATAAAGTTGGTTCAACACAGTGGCGGGTCATTTTGACCCTAGGACAACGGGAGGGTTAAGTAGTCTTAGAGGGCATTCAAATTGTTTTAGCACAGAAAAGTTAGGTTGCACCGCGGTATAGGCAGAACAAGTGATAGTTTGCCAAAAATGAACTTATTTAGTACCCATAACTGTACCCATAAAAAATGCACTACTGAACTGCAGTGAGGTAAAAAATACAATGCAGTGTGACAAGACTGTGTTCATATTCATTTTCATGGCTGCTTTGTAGATAAGACAACTACTGCAGGAGAGGAAACATCACAGAGGTTGGTTTTGAATGCAAAGCAGATCATGATGATTCCCTGACCGAGTTACAGTGCATCTGTTCCTAAAATGAATCCATTAATTTGATATGGGTTTTTCTGACCCTACGGTTACAGGGAGGGAGAGAACGGCTTTCCTTTGAGTGTTTTTTTTATCTCCATGAATAAGAGATGACGCTCCCTGTTGGGGAGGGCTTTTGGTGGTGTCATTGGACTGGTGGACTGAAAGAGCCACCATGGGAAATGGAAGATGAAGATTAAAATGTTGTGCTTGTACAGACAATGCACACAGACACAGACAGAGACCTAGAAAGAGACACACTGTGTCACACACTGCATCTATCTACTGGGTTCTCTGTGAAAACGATCTAATCCCCCCAAAAACACTTTATGGTTCTAGGTAGCAACAAGCCCTAAAAGCAGACTCACTGTGTGAAACCAGAACTTGACGATGGGGGCATTGTAGAACTCGTAGATCTTCCGGCCCATGGGGATGAGCCGGTGTCTATTCTGTACCTCCCCCACGCCCTTCTTACGAGCCGCATCCGTCCTTACCTTACCCAGCATGGCCTGGGGCATCACACCCAGATAGACAGAGAGAGAGAGAGAGAGAGAGAGAGAGAGAGAGAGAGAGAGAGAGAGAGAGAGAGAGAGAGAGAGAGAGAGAGAGAGAGAGAGAGAGAGAGAGAGAGAGAGAGAGAGAGAGAGAGAGAGAGAGAGAGAGAGAGAGAGAGAGAGAGAGAGAGAGAGAGAGATACAAAAATACAGGAGAGCGGGAGGAAATCATGAAAGAGCATTAGAGCTGTTCCTATACCGTAGTTGCATGAGCAGCAGCAAGCAGAGGCAAACTCATTCTGAATGTGGCATGTTAGTGGCATTGAGTGCTGATGACAAACATGACGCAGACACTTATGGATCGAGTCTCGGATGACAGTGACGGACAGTAGAGAGAGAGAGAGAGACCGAGAGAGAGATAGAAAATAAGAGAGAGGACAGCTAGGAGAAAGAAAGACGTCTGACGTCCATTTCTAAGACTCTAACACAGTTTGCCATCCATAATGGGGGAGTCAATCCCAGAGGTTATAATCATGGATGCCCAAACTACACCACACCTTTGGGGAGTCAGCAAACGGTATTGTATTGTATTGTATTGCATGTCTGGGGAAAAGGGAGAGACACCCCGCGGTGTGAAAATCACACTGCCATGCCGACCTACATGCATATTTTAACTGCATATGGACTGGGAGAGTTGGGGATTAAAGTGTGTTTTTGGAGGCATCTGAGGTTGACTTGCAATACAATCCATACCCCCCCCCCCCCCCCCCCCCCCCCCCGGGTGTATTGTAGCCTAGTATCTATTTGTATGAATCTGTCTGATTCATATAGTTTGTGTTCTGGGCTGCATTTGAACAATCAGAAACCAGCAGCTCACAATGGCAAGCGGAAGAGCTCATGACAGATGTAATCCTTTGACAGAGTGTTTTGGGGAGTCTCAAGGACTCTCATCAGCATTCTCATAAACTCCTGTTGCCAGTGAGTATTTGTGCCGGCTGGCTGACTGAATGCAGATGACAATATGTAACGCAATGTCTATGTAGATGGACCGAGTCACCAATCGCCTGTTCTACATTGAGAGAGGGTGTTCAGACAGTCAGGCGGTGTTTGAAATGGAACCCTACACCCTATATAGTGCACTATTTTTGACTAAAGCTCCATGGGCCCTGATCAAAAGTAGTGCACTATACAGGGGATAGGGGGCCATTTCGGATGCACCCACAGACTGTGCATCTGCATAGACCAGGCAGATAGGCAGGCAGGCACAGTTATGTAACCTGAGCAGCTGAAGCTGCTGCCATAGATCAGATGAGAGACACCCTCTCTTAGCAGCATGCGGAGTGATGCGCTGTTGCCAGCGCCACAGGGGAGAGTGAGGGGCAGCAGTCGCATACGATACCATACCTCTAGTAAGACCTTAGCTAGGAGAGAAATGGAACAGAGGGAGAGGGAGAGAGAGAGAGAGAGAGAGAGAGAGAGAGAGAGAGAGAGAGAGAGAGAGAGAGAGAGAGGGGGAGATAGAGAGAGAGAGAGAGAGAGAGAGAGAGAGAGAGGGGTAAAGACAGAGAGAGTGAAAGAAAGAGGGAGAGACAGGGAAAGAGAGAAGAGAGGAAGGGAAAGAGCAAAAGAGGAGGGAAAGCGAGAGAGGTGGAAAGGAAGAGGGACAGAGAGAGAGAGAGAGAGAGAGAGAGACATCCACAAGGAGCCGAGCGCGGCAAACAGACTGAGACGTTACAACTCCACAACCACGTCTTCGCCGAGACGACAGGAAACGAGAAGCAGGATGACAGGTAGGTTTGGGGGCGGGGCAGGGCTGTTCTTACTGCCCCTCCGGTTGGTCAGAATAGGGACAAGGCTTGGATGGGTGTGTAGGGACAATACTAATGGTGTGTGTTTGTTAACTGTGGGTCTATTTGCTGGCTAAGGGTGCGTCCGAAATGGCCCCCTATTTCCTATATAGTAGGGAATACTAATTGGCTGCCATTTGAGACGCAGCCTGCGTGTGTATAGTCTGAAGGCGGGGCTGAGGTGGGTGTTCTCACCACGGAGTTGTACTGCGTCTCACAGTAGGATCTTACTGTGAACTCCATGTCCTCTTCCTCCTTCTCATTGGCGGGCTTCTCAGGCTCCTCCTCCTCCTTCTCCTGCAGGTAGGTGTCCTGGTCCTGGGGCATGTACGACATCTCATCCTTGTTCTTGAACTCCAGACTCAGGATGGACGGAGGCAGCAGCAGGCCCAATATCACCTGTACAGGGGTGTGGAGTTAAACATATGCACACAGGCAATACACACAAACGCATACAGAGACGCTTCTTCAACAGTTGTCACGTGGCACGACAACAAGTCCATATTTCTGAGCTCGACACCTTGAAATCGCATAATTATATGTCTGACGTGCAGATAGTTTGCATATTTAATGCAGTGGAGAGGAGCGAGCTCATCTGAGGTTTAATTAGAAAGGCATTAGTCCAGACAGCTAGAGAGGGGTAGTAGAAAAGGCAGACAAAAGGCAGAAAATAGTCTGGGGGAGGGGAATGGAGGGGGAGATATCGTTAAAAAAGTTATAAATGGCTCCCTCTTCTTTCCACCATTTTGTTTAAAATCAAATGTTATTTGTCACATGCACCGAATACAACTGGTGTAGACTTTACCGTAAAATGCTTGCTTACGAGCCCTTCCCAACAATGCAGAGTTTAGTAATACAAGAATGGAGCTATATAGAGGGAGTACCAGTACCAGAGGTAGATACAGTTGAAGTTGGAAGTTTACATACACCTTAGCCAAATACATTTAAACTCAGTTCTTCACAATTCCTGACATTTAATCCTAGTAAAAAGTCCCCGTTTTAGGTCAGTTAGCATCACCACTTTATTTTAAGAATGTGAAATGTCAGAATAATAGTAGAGAGAATGATTTATTTCAGCTTTTATTTATTTCATCACATTCCCAGTGGGTCAGAAGTTTACATACACTCAATTTGTATTTGGTAGCATTGCCTTTAAATTGTTTAACTTGGGTCAAACATTTCGAGTAGCCTTCCACAAGCTTCCCACAATAAGTTGGGTGAATTTTGGCCCATTCCTCCTGACAGAGCTGGTGTAACTGAGTCAGGTTTGTAGGCCTCCTTGCTCGCACACGCTTTTTCAGTTCTGCCCACAAATGTTCTATACGATTGAGGTCAGGGCTTTGTGATGGCTACGCCAGTACCTTGACTTTGTTGTCTTTAAACCATTCTGCCACAACTTAGGAAGTATGCTTGGGTTCATTGTCCATTTGGAAGAACCATTTGCGACCAAGCTTTAACTTCCTGACTGATGTCTTGAGATGTTGCTTCAATATATCCACATAATTTTCCTTCCTCATGATGCCATCTATTTTGTGAAGTGCACCAGTCCCTCCTGCAGCAAAGCACCCCCACAGCATGATGCTGCCACCCCCATGCCTCACGGTTGGGATGGTGTTCTTTGGCTTGCAAGCAACCCCCTATTTCCTCCAAACATAACGATGGTCATAATGGCCAAACAGTTCTATTTTTGTTTCATCAGACCAGAGGACATTTCTCCAAAAAGTACGATCTTTGTCCCCATGTGCAGTTGCAAACCATAGTCTGGCGTTTTATGGCAGTTTTGGAGCAGTGGCTTCTTCCTTGCTGAGCGGCCTTTCAGGTTATGTCGAAATAGGACTCGTTTTACTGTGGATATAGATACTTCTGTACCTGTTTCCTCCAGCATCTTCACAAGGTCCTTTGCTGTTGTTCTGGGATTGATTTTCACTTTTCGCACCAAAGTACGTTCATCTCTAGGAGACAGAAAGCGTCTCCTTCCTGAGTGGTATGACAGCTGCGTGGTTCCATGGTGTTTATACTTGCATTCTATTGTTTGTACAGATGAACGTGGTACCTTCAGGCGTTTGGAAATTGCTCCCAAGGATGAACCAGACTTGTGGAGGTCTACAATTCTTTTTCTGAGGTCTTGGCTGATTTCTTTTGATTTTCCCATGATGTCAAGCAAAGAGGCACTGAGTTTGAAGGTAGGCCTTCAAATACATCCACAGGTACACCTCCAATTGCCTAAAATTATGTCAATTAGCCTATCAGAAGCTTCTAAAGCCATGACATCATTTTCTGGAATTTTCCAAGCTGTTTAAAGGCACAGTCAACTTAGTGTATGTAAACTTCTGACCCACTGGAATTGTGATACAGTGAATTATAAGTGAAATAATCTGTCTGTAAACAATTGTTGGAAAAATTACTAGTGTCATGCACAAAGTAGCCTTATTGGCTGCGTCCGTAACGGGTCTGCGGTCAAATGACCACCCCTCATCACAGTCAAACGCTACCTTTAACACTTTACATTTACATTTACATTTACGTCATTTAGCAGACGCTCTTATCCAGAGCGACTTACAAATTGGTGCATTCACCTTATAGCCAGTGGGATAACAGCTTTACAATATGTTTTATTTTATTTTCTTAAATTTTTGGGGGGTGGGGTGGGTAAGGGGGGGGGGGGGTAGAAGGATTACTTTATCCTATCCCAGGTATTCCTTAAAGAGGTGGGGTTTCAAGTGTCTCCGGAAGGTGGTGAGTGACTCCGCTGTCCTGGCATCGTGAGGGAGCTTGTTCCACCATTGGGGTGCCAGAGCAGCGAACAGTTTTGACTGGGCTGAGCGGGAACTGTGCTTCCACAGAGGTAGGGGGGCCAGCAGGCCAGAGGTACTTTAGCGAGCAGGCCTTCCTAATTGACATGGCCCACGTATCCTGGATGGATATCGATCTCATTCCGTCAGTACAGGATGCCTGGTTATTCTTTAAAAGTGCTTTCCTCTCAATCTTAAATAAGCATGCCCCATTCAAAAAATTCAGAACTAAGAACAGATATAGCCCCTGGTTCTCCTCAGACTTGACTGCCCTTGACCAGCACAAAAACATCCTGTGGCGTACTGCATTAGCATCGAATAGCCCCCGCGATATGCAACTTTTCAGGGAAGTTAGGAACCAATATACACAAGCAGTTAGGAAAGCAAAGGATAGCGTTTTCAAACAGAAATTTGCATCCTGTAGCACTAACTCCAAAAAGTTTTGGGACACTGTAAAGTCCATGGAGAATAAGAGCACCTCCTCCCAGCTGCCCACTGCACTGAGGCTAGGAAACACTATCACCACCGATAAATCTATAATAATCGAGAATTTCAACAAGCATTTTGCTACGGTTGGCCATGCTTTCCACCTGGCTACCACTACCCCGGCCACCAGCTCTGCACCCTCCGCTGCAACTTGCCCATGCCCCCCCCTGCTTCTCCTTCACACAAATTCAGACAGCTGATGTTCTGAAAGAGCTGCAAAATCTGGACCCCTACAAATCATCTGGGCTAGACAATCTGGACCCTTTCTTTGTAAAAATAGCCGCCGAAATTGTCGCAACCCCTACTACTAGCCTGTTCAACCTCTCTTCCGTAACGTCTGAGATCCCCAGAGATTGGAAAGCTGCCGCGGTCATCCCCCTCTTCAAAGGGGGTGACACTCTAGATCCAAACTGTTACAGACGTATATCCATCCTGCCCTGCCTTTCGAAGGTTTTTGAAAGCCAAGTTAACAAACAGATCACCGACCATTTCGAATCCCACCGTACCTTCTCCGCTATGCAATCCGGTTTCCGAGCTGGTCATGGGTGCACCTCAGCCACGCTCAAGGTCCTAAACAATATTATAACCGCGATCGATAATAGACAGTACTGTGCAGCCGTCTTCATCGACCTGGCCAAGGCTTTCGACTCTGTCAACCACCGCATTCTTATTGGCAGACTAAATAGCCTTGGTTTCTCAAATGACTGCCTCGCCTGGTTCACCAACTACTTCTCAGATAGAGTTCAATGTGTCAAATCGGAGGGCCTGTTGTCTGGACCTATGGCAGTCTCGATGGGGGTGCCACAGGGTTCAATTCTTGGGCCGACTCTTTTCTCTGTGTATATCAATGACGTCGCTATTGCTGCTGGTGACTCTCAGATCCACCTCTACGCAGATGACACCATTTTGTATACATCTGGCCCTTCATTGGACACTGTGTTAACAAACCTCCAAACGAGCTTCAATGCCATACAACACTCCTTCAGTAGCCTCCAACTGCTCTAAAACACTAGTAAAACTAAATGCATGCTCTTCAATCGAACGCTGCTGGCACCCGCCCACCCGACTAGAATCACTACTCTTGACGGTTCTGACCTAGAGTATGTGGACAACTACAAATACCTAGGTGTCTGGTTAGACTGTAAACTCTCCTTCCAGACTCACATTAAGCATCTCCAATCCAAAGTTAAATCTAGAATCGGCTTCCTATTTCGCAACAAAGCCTCCTTCACTCAAGCTGCCAAACATGCCCTCGTAAAACTGACTGTCCTACCGATCCTTGACTTCGGCGATGTCATTTACAAAATAGCCTCCAACACTCTACTCAGCAAATTGGATGTAGTCCATCACAGTGCCATCCGTTTTGTCACCAAAGCCCCGTATACTACCCACCACTGTGACCTGTACGCTCTTGTTGGCTGGTCCTCACTACATATTCGTCGCCAAACCCACTGGCTCCAGGCCATCTATAAATCACTGCTAGGCAAATCCCCGCCTTATCTTAGCTCATTGGTCACCATAGCAACACCCACCCGTAGTATGCGCTCCAGCAGGTATATCTCACTGGTCATCCCCAAAGCCAACACCTCTTTTGGCCGCCATTCCTTCCAGTTCTCTGCTGCCAATGACTGGAACGAACTGCAAAAATCTCTGAAGCTGGAGACTCTTATCTCCCTCACTAACTTTAAGCATCAGTTGTCAGAGCACCTTACCGATCACTGCACCTGTACACAGCCCATCTGAAATTAGCCCACCCAACTACCTCATCCCCATATTGTTATTCATTTTGCTCATTTGCACCCCAGTATCTCTATTTGCACATCATCTCTTGCACATCTATCATTCCAGTGTTAATACTAATTGTAAATATTTTGCACTATGGCCTATTTATTGCCTTACCTCCATAACTTGCTACATTTGCACACACTGTATATATATCTTCTGTTGTATTTTTTGACTTAATGTTTTGTTTTACCCCATATGTAACTCTGTGTTGTTGTTTTTATCGCACTGCTTTGCTTTATCTTGGCCAGGTCGCAGTTGTAAATGAGAACTTGTTCTCAACTAGCTTACCTGGTTAAATAAAGGTTAAATAAATAATAAAATAAAATAAAGATGTCCTAACCGACTTGCCAAAACTATAGTTTGTTAACAAGACATTTGTGGAGTGGTTGAAAAACGAGTTTTAATGACTCCAACCTAAGTGTATGTAACTTTCCGACTTCAACTGTATGTACAAGAAGGCAGGGTAAAGTGACTAGGCAACAGGATAGATAATAATAAGAGTAAAATAAAGAACAGAGTAGCATCAGCAAATGATGAGTGTAAAAGTGTGTGTGTGTGTGAGCTTGTGTGTGTGTGTAATGTACATGTATGTATGTTTATGTTATGTCGTCTGCATGTGTGTGTTGTGTGTGTGTGCGTATGTAGTGTATGTGAATGTGTGTGGGTTTTGTGTGGGAGTGTCAATGTAGTGTGTGTGAGTGAGTGTTTATATGGTGTGTATATACAGTCTAGTGAGTGTGCGTAGGATCAGTGCAGATAGTTTGGGTACCATTAATTGGCTATTTAGCAGTCTGGCTATTTAGCAGTCTTATGGCTTGGGGGTAAGCTGTCTCGGAGCCTGTTGGTCCGAGAGCCGATACTCCGGTACCGTTTGCCGGACGGTAGCAGAGTGAACAGTCTATGACTAGGGTGGCTGGAGTCTTTGGCAATTTTTCGGGCCTTCCTCTGGCACCGCCTGGTATAGAGGTCCTAGATGGCAGGGAGCTCGGCCCCAGTGATGTACTGGGCTGTCCGCATCACCCTCTATAGTGCTTTGCGGTCAAGGGCGGTGGATTTGCCATACCAAGCAGTGATGCAGCCAGTCAAGATGCTCTCGATGTTGCAGCTGTATAACTTTTTGAGGATCTGAGGGCCCATGCCAAATCTTTTCAGCCTCCTGAGGGGGAAGAGGCGGTGCCATGCCCTCTTCACAACTGTGCAGGTGTGTGTGGACCATGTTAGGTCCTTAGTGATGTAGACGCTAAGGAACTTGAAGCTCTGGACCCGCTCCACAACAGCCCCGTCAATGACTTAGACCTGGGTGAGCACCTTGATTCCCAAAACATTTCTTACTATGACTGTGATATGCGGATGTCTCTCTTAACTACCTTAAGATGAATGCACTAACTCTAAGTCGCTCTGCATAAGAGCGCGGATAAATGACTAAAATGTAAAACTTTAAAATGTTTCAGATGAGTGAAGGAAAGGACACGTAGTGTCAAGGAAGCTGTATAAGGAAGTTGCTTAAGTGGATAAGGACCCAATCCATCTTCTCACCACTCACTAACTGACTTTCTTCTTCAGGCCTGTGGCAGCAGGCCAGTCTTATTCATTAATGCACACCGTAGAAAAACGTTTTGCAACTAAAGTACGAAAACAAGTGTTTCTCATTGGACAAGTTTTAGTAGTGCCTTCCTGTTTCAGTCCGTTTTCCTCCATTTGGTGCCTGGTGAATACAACCCAGACAGGAAGGCATGTGTGTGGTGGGGCTTTATGGGTCATGATGAGTGTGTAGTGCTATTTGCTGTGTGATCTACTCCTCAGTGTATATCAGCCTGTTTGTTATACCTTTGGTTTCTGCTCCATTGAATCTGTTTCCCAACCAGTTCTATACTGCACCTGGATTCATCCTCCTTACACTACACAACCACCCAGCGGTCCCCAAGCACAGCTACTCATAATAATAAATGAATGTGTCCTTTCATGATCTAAGCAGCTGTATGCTATCAAACCATAACCAACTCACTGGCTAACCTACTTGGCTGGGCTGAATAATAGCACAAGCCTTTACAGTGTATTTAAAGGTGCGTTGTCGTAAATCAACATTAAAAGTGTTAGGAATGGTCAAGCGACAGCTCAAATATGGGATATCATTAGCCATTATTCCCAGCAGGCCAAGCGGGGTAATTGCAACAGCTATTTCAGTATACACTTTCACCTCTCTATCTGTCTCCATCTGTCTGTCTTTCTGTCTCTTTGTCGCTCTCTCTCTCCGTCTGTCTATCTCTGTCTGTCTCTCTCCGTCCATCTGTCTGTCCGTCTGTCCGTCTGTCCGTCTGTCCGTCTGTCCGCCTGTCTGTCTGTCTGTCTGTCTGTCTGTCTGTCTGTCTGTCTGTCTGTCTGTCTGTCTCTCTCTCTCTCTCTCTCTCTCTCTGTCTGTCTGTCTGTCTGTCTGTCTGTCTGTCTGTCTGTCTGTCAGCTGGTCTACCTCTGAAACCCAATGGACTGTGTGACCCCTGACCCTCTGACCTTTAGCCCAGAGTTCTTGCGCATGCGCAGGCGTCCCATCCACATGTCGGTGAGCAGCATCTGGCTGCAGGTGTGGGCGATGAAGTCGCGGTGCTTGGCGGCCACAGCCAGCTGCAGGCAGGTGGCGTTACTCCAGTTCTTCAGCTCATAGGTTAGCAGCTTCATGGCCATCTGCTCGTCCTGCTTGTAAGACTGGTCCAGCAGCTCCACAGCTAGCTGGCCAAACTCACTGAAACACACATATAGGATGTCACACAGTGAATGCTTGAGATGGACTAGGCTACATTGCAGTCGGACATATCAGCATAACGTACAGATAAATGCACTGCTACGCACGCACACACAAACACACACACACACACACACACACACACACACACACATGATGTACACAAACACTAGTCAAAGGATTAGGATAAGACTTCAACAGCAAGCTGGTCAAACTCTCTGAGGAACAAACACACCAATATGGTCTGCACTTGACAGAAAGAGAAGAGTCAGAGCTTTGAAGAGAATGGCAGTGTGTGTGTGTGTGTGTGTGTGTGTGTGTGTGTGTGTGTGTGTGTGTGTGTGTGTGTGTGTGTGTGTTTGTGTGTGGCACCCGGGAGTTCTTCCCTCTGATCAACATCCAACATTTTCATAACAGTCTTTTTAAATGAGCAAGAACACACAAATAACAAACACGAAGGTTCATCCCACACACATACCATTAATTAAACTACATGTACGTCATTTGCTAGAGTACCCTATGTGTGTTATCATTAGCTCTATATATGTATGGCGGTCCTATGAGATGTGTGTGTTATCTAAAGCAGGTCAGGCTGAGAGGAGGAGTATGGATGCCGCTCCAGTCCAGACTCCCAGCTCAACTCCACATTAATCATTCAGAAGAAAACTTTCCATGAAATAAGTGGTGCTCAGACCAGAAAAAATACTCTGACCGCTTGGTTAGCTGAGAAGGTGTGTGCGCGCGTTCAGTTGTGGGTATGTACATGTGTGGCAAACTCTACAAATGCTTACGTGTTTGTGATTGCTTGTCTGACTCTGTGTGTGTCTCTGTGTTTGTTTTCAACTCTATGTGGTCTATAGTACCTGGAGTTATGGTTGAGCTCCTGTGAGATGTCGTCTACCATGTCGTTCTCGGAGGCCTCGTGGGCCATGGCCTTACACAGCTTACAGGCCACCAGGGCTTTAGCCATGGCCTCCTCCCCATGCTGCCAGAAGAACAGCGCCATCTTCTGTCTCTTCATCAGCACAGCCCACACCATCAACTCATGGAAGGGGAAGTGGAAGTGGTTGATCTCAGGGTCATCCAGGTCAATGTCCACCTCCTCCTCCCGCTTGCGTGTAGTCTTCTGACGACCCCTCCGGATCGGCATGTCATCCTTACGCAGGGCACACAGGACAAGAGCAGAGAAATTGATGAATTGGTTTTTGAATGTGATGCTCAGCCTTGGCCCATTGAGGGAGACAGGCAGACATTAAGAGAGACTGTGATCAAGTAATATCATTCACATTGGCTATGGTCTTGGCGATATGGATGCAGTACCATGGCCATGTATTGATAAAGGCCTATTGGTTTACACTCATGTCAGAGTGAAAGTGGAAAGTACTGAGAATTGAGAACTGAGGAAAGGCCTTGATGTTTTATGTCTGTCTGCTTAGGATATTATGACATTTATTCCAATATTTATTCAGATATTTCCCTACTACTTTCATATCTCATCAAACAAATATCTAAACAGTGAGACTTAAGCTGAGTTAAGATTAATTAATATTCAATTTATGGATAAAGGAGTGATTTTAACTGATCTCAGCTAAAGTGTGTGAAAATGAGGAAGATTAGATTAGACTGAATAATATCTTCAAGTTTGATTTGTTCACAGACTGCCTTAAGTATCCCCATCGACTAGAGACTTCAGCTTAGATATCTCCATGGTAATGGTATCACCATGGTAATGACTGCTTCACTGACAGACACACAAACATGCAGGGTATCAGAATGCTGTATAAGATATAATAACATAAGTCACACAAAGTATTTACATTGCCATAAACCCTGTACACAGACACAATGTCATATTGGGGCATTCTGTTATTGTAACCAGGGGAAAACACCAAACTGAACAACCTAGATGTAACTTGTCAGGTCACCCGTGATACAAGTCAGTATTCAACGTTCATCCATATCTGAGGACGTTGGGAGATGACATGGAAACCATTCACTAGGGGCAACAGTGAGCGCTGTTCCCTTCAAGTAGGTTTTAGTTTTGCTAGGGCGCTGTGGACGGGGATGGCGGATGGTTGCAAGTTCCAATCCAGCGATAGAAAGGTGTTTTTGATATTAAGCCTATCCCAAACCTTAACCCTTACCTTAACCATTTGGGGTTAATGTCGAACCTTAAGAATTTGGAGTTAATGCCTGAACTTAACCCTAACCTTAAAAATTCTGAGTTAATGCCTAAACTTAATGTTAAACACTTTGAAATATAACGTTTGGAACAACTTTGAAATGTGACTTTTGAGAAACATGGATGAACGTCTAATTCTGACATGAGACTGTGAGAGCTGGTTGGACGTAACATAGTAAACGTAAATCTGTCTCCGACCATTGAGTATGATATGTTACGTTTTGTATGGTATGTATTAATTTGTGGATGTCCATCATCCATTTCATATGATATGTTACGAATTACTATTCATATGATGTTATGAATTGCAATTAGTACAATATGTTACAAATTTGCAATACCTATGATATGTTACGTATTCCAATTTGTTGTGCCTAACATTAGCTAGGTGGCTAGGTGGCTAATGCTAGCGTTAGGTAGGTGGCTAACATTAGCTAGGCTAGTGGTTAGGGTTAGGGGTTAAGGTTTAGGTTAAAGGGATAAGCTTAGGGTTAAGTAGTTAGTACAGTAGTTGCTAAAATTGTCTGTGATGAGATTCAAACTCGCAACCTTTTGGTTGCTAGACATTCACATTATACACCTACCCATCCATCCACCCTTGTTTAATTTTATGTAACCACACCAAGCGTAACATATTATACTAATTTGAGTGTCCTGGATTTACTTTTACTATGTCAGACGTCTATGAGACCAGGCTGAATTGTAACCGAATAATAACCACACTGTGACCGGGACTCACCTCCATCCCCAGCAGTTTCAGGGCTTTGGGCTGGAAAGGTAACAAAAACATGGTTATAGAGAAATCAACACCCTCAAGGGGAATGTTTCACATTTAAAATATGCACACACATAAAGGGACACAGGCAGACAAATGTACACACACTCACTAAGCCAGACGTTCAAAAACAGAAATAAATGCATTAACTAAGGAACACAGCTGTCCTGTTCCAGACATTAACCTGTTCTCGATCGACAGTAACCTATTTTAGACATTCTAGTCATATAGCAGACGCTCTTATCCAGAGTGACTTACAGTAAGTGAGTGTATACATTTTTCATACTGGCCCCCCGTGGGAATCGAACCCACAACCCTGCCGTTGCAAGCACCATGCTCTACCAACTGAGCTACAGGAGGCCCAACAGTAACCTGTTCTAGACCAACAGTAAACGGTCTAAAATCAACAGTAACCTGTTCTAGACCAGACAGTAACCTGTTCTAGACCAGACAGTAACCTGTTCTAGACCAGACAGTAACCTGTTCTAGACCAGACAGTAACCTGTTCTAGACCAGACAGTAACCTGTTCTAGACCAACAGTAACCTGTTCTAGACCAGACAGTAACCTGTTCTAGACCAGACAGTAGCCTGTTCTAGACCAGACATGAACCTGTTCTAAACCAGACAGTAACCTGTTCTAGACCAACAGTAACCTGTTCTAGACCAGACAGTAACCTGTTCTAGACCAGACAGTAACCTGTTCCAGACCAACAGTAACCTGTTCTAGACCAACAGTAACCTGTTCTAGACCAGACAGTAACCTGTTCTAGACCAGCAGTAACCTGTTCTAGACAAACAGTAACCTGTTCTAGACCAGACAGTAACCTGTTCTAGACCAGACAGTAACCTGTTCTAGACCAACAGTAACCTGTTCTAGACCAGACAGTAACCTGTTCTAGACCAGACAGTAACCTGTTCTAGACCAGACAGTAACCTGTTCTAGACCAGACAGTAACCTGTTTTAGACCAGACAGTAACCTGTTCTAGACCAGACAGTAACCTGTTCTAGACCAGCAGTAACCTGTTCTAGACCAACAGTAACCTGTTCTAGACCAACAGTAACCTGTTCTAGACCAACAGTAACCTGTTCTAGACCAGACAGTAACCTGTTCTAGATCAACAGTAACCTGTTCTAGACCAACAGTAACCTGTTCTAGACCAACAGTAACCTGTTCTAGACCAGACAGTAACCTGTTCTAGACCAGCAGTAACCTGTTCTAGACAAACAGTAACCTGTTCTAGACCAGACAGTAACCTGTTCTAGACCAGACAGTAACCTGTTCTAGACCAGACAGTAACCTGTTCTAGACCAACAGTAACCTGTTCTAGACCAGACAGTAACCTGTTGTAGACCAACAGTAACCTGTTCTAGACCAGACAGTAACCTGTTCTAGACCAACAGTAACCTGTTCTAGATCAACAGTAACCTGTTCTAGACCAACAGTAACCTGTTCTAGACCAACAGTAACCTGTTCTAGACCAGACAGTAACCTGTTCTAGACCAGCAGTAACCTGTTCTACACAAACAGTAACCTGTTCTAGACCAGACAGTAACCTGTTCTAGACCAGACAGTAACCTGTTCTAGACCAACAGTAACCTGTTCTAGACCAGACAGTAACCTGTTGTAGACCAACAGTAACCTGTTCTAGACCAGACAGTAACCTGTTCTAGACCAACAGTAACCTGTTCTAGATAACAGTAACCTGTTCTAGACCAGACAGTAACCTGTTCTAGACCAGACAGTAACCTGTTCTAGACCAACAGTAACCTGTTCCAGATCAACAGTAACCTGTTCTAGACCAACAGTAACCTGTTCTAGACCAACAGTAACCTGTTCTAGACCAACAGTAACCTGTTCTAGACCAGACAGTAACCTGTTCTAGACCAGACAGTAACCTGTTGTAGACCAACAGTAACCTGTTCTAGACCAGACAGTAACTTGTTCTAGACCAGACAGTAACATGTTCTAGACCAACAGTTACCTGTTCTAGACCAGACAGTAACCTGTTCTAGACCAACAGTAACCTGTTCTAGACCAGACAGTAACCTTTTCTAGACCAACAGTAACCTGTTCTAGACCAGCAGTAACCTGTTCTAGACCAGACAGTAACCTGTTCTAGACCAGCAGTAACCTGTTGTAGACCAACAGTAACCTGTTCTAGACCAGCAGTAACTTGTTATAGACCAGACAGTAACATGTTCTAGACCAACAGATACCTGTTCTAGACCAACAGTAACCTGTTCTAGACCAACAGTAACCTGTTCTAGACCAGACAGTAACCTTTTCTAGACCAACAGTAACCTGTTCTAGACCAGCAGTAACCTGTTCTAGATCAACAGTAACCTGTTCTAGACCAGCAGTAATCTGTTCTAGACCAACAGTAACCTGTTCTAGACCAGACAGTAACCTGTTCTAGACCAGACAGTAACCTGTTCTAGACCAACAGTAACCTGTTCTAGACCAACAGTAACCTGTTCTAGACCAGACAGTAACCTGTTCTAGACCAGACAGTAACCTGTTCTAGACCAGACACTAACCTGTTCTTGATAAACATTAACCTGTTCTAGATCAACAGTTGTCTTTAGATATACCTAACAAAAATATAAACGCAACATGCAGCAATTTCAAAGATTTTACTGAGTTATAGTTCATATAATGAAATCAGTCAATTGGAATAAATTCATTAGGCCCTAATCTATGGATTTCACATGAATGGGCAGGGGTGGCAGGTAGCCTAGCGGTTAAGAGCATTGGCCCAATAACCGAAAGGTCACTGGAACGAATCATCGAGCCGACTAGGTGAAATATCTGTCGATGTGCCCTTGAGCAAGGCACTTAACCCTAACGTCTACTAAAATGTAAAAATGGGTGCAGCCATGGGTGAGCCTTGGATGGCATAGGCCCACCCACTTGGCAGCCAGGCCCACCCACTGGGGAGCCAGGCCCACCCACTGGGGCTATGCAAATCAGAAGGAGTTTTTCCCCGCAAAAGGGCTTTATTACAGACAGAAATACTCCACAGCAGCACACCCCACCCCACCCTCAGACGATCCCGCAGGTGAAGAAGCTGGATGTGGAGGTACTGAGCTGGCGTAGTTACACGTGGTCTGTGGTTGTGAGGCTGGTTGGACGTACTGCGTAATTCTATAAAACAACGTTGGAAGCAGCTTATGGTAGAGAAATTAACATT